CTGCTTGACAGGATTTTATTCTTCATCTGGCCTTTCATTAACTGCTTCATTGCTGCCTAATGAGCCAAGCATGTGGGGCAAAGTACATTAAACATGATGGTCACTGTAATAGACAGTGCTAAATCTCTCTCTCTAGATCAAATTTGTATAATGACTTGCCTACCTTGGGAGAATGTCAGGATACTGTGAAAGGGAACAATGGATCAGCCATATGTTTCGAGTTGATGGCAACAACCCTGCTTATGTTCAGTTATGTTAGAGGCCTTTGTTGGGACACATTCCAGTTCAACTCTCTTTCAGATGCATTGGGATCTCCTATAAATCTATTGGGAATCCAGGAAAACAGAATTTAAAGCAGTGGTGAAAAATTAATTTTATTTTCAAATCTGCCAGAATGTTCCAAAACTTAATAACATCTCAATGTAACTGGCATAGTCAATATATGGTTCATAGATTCATAGATTGTAAAGCTGGAAGAGACCTCAGAAGATCATAGGGTCCAGCCCCCTGCACCAGGCAGGAAAGACAACTGGGTCAGGTGACCCTCCAGTCTCCTCTTGAAGATTTCCAGGGTAGGTGATTGCACCACCTCTGGAAGGAGCTTATTCCACAGGCTGGACAGTCTGTGAAGAAGTTGTTCTTAATGTTAAGCCGGAAACAGTCTTGCAGGAGTTTGTGGCTATTACTCCTGGTTTTCCCCAAGGGTGATCTGGTGAACAGCGGTTCACCCAGCCATTGACAGGTTCCTCAGCCTTTCCTTGTATGGCTTGCCGTGTAAGTCTCTGATCATATGCATGGCCCTTCCCTGGACTCTGTCAAGCTTTACCACATGTCTTTCGCTTGACCAGGCAATATTCAGGATTTTGTGGGAGTATATCTATAGGATAAAAAACTTGATAGCAAGTGTTACATCTTTTGGTGTGATCTTGTTTACTTACAAACAAGTATACACAGATTTTACTCCACAAACCAGATTTTATTCCACCAACTAAGTGTTAGACCCCGACTCCATGCAGCACCCAATGACTAGGGAGATGATGGTCCAGTTACCCGTGGATCCTGTTACTCATTAGCCAGAGCAGAACAGGGAGCAAACACCAGCACACATCGCTTGCAACAGCTTTTATTCAGAATGGAGACAGCTTCGGGCGAGCTCCGTCACCGGCAGAATATGGGGAGCAGCATTGAACATTAGTTCTTTTCACATTTTCTACACCTTTTTTCATAAATATTAACATTTATTCCACCTTGTTCCACCCATTTCTCCTCCTGTCTCAAGCTCCACCTCTGTTTACTGTTTACTTCTTTAACATTGAATTGCCTGTGCATTTCATTCATTTACATGCCTCACTGCTAAGAGTGCATGCATAAAACTTTTGACCCCTATCTTCTTTTGGTCACTTTGCAGTTTCTCACTGCTTCTTGCTGGTTTTCTTGCTGACTTCTCCATCTCCAAGGCTGTATCTCTGCTTTGTCTCCTGACACTAGTTGCTTAATACATCATGCACTTTGCACTCTATCCTTTTGTTAAGAATTTGCTTACTTAAGCATTAGCTAAGTTAGTTGCTTTTAATATATCAGCTAGCCTTGTGACCACCAGCTTTTGCTGAGGTTATCTTTTAATATATAATCCAATCTTGTGACCAGAAGCTTTTTGCAGAGGCACAGGAAAAAGCCATCATTCAGCTGCACACTCAGCACTCCAGATTCCATATCGTTACCCCAACATCCAGAATCCGTATTGTTACCCTAACGCTAAGCACCTGTTCCATCTTGCCTAAGTCCTTGAAAAAGTGTAACGGGGTGTTCTTTGTAGGGAACATCATCTTATCCATAAATCTGAATTCCCAAAAGTGGTAGATCTGCCTATCCACCTTTTGAATTATTACTTTTTCAGATATTGATGCAGGGTGAATTAGGATCCACTAAATCCATTCACATTCTTAATGGGTAAGTTAGGGTGTGGCCCAAAGCAGTTTTCCACTATGATCAGTGGAATAAGTACCATCACAGAATTTCCTAGCTTGGAAATCCTCAAATCTGCCACTCCAGTGAGGCATGTGCCCAGCAATCTCCATCTTTCTGCCTTTTCTCAAGATCAGGTTCATAACTGCTTCTCTAGGCTTTCTGTTTCTGACCATATAACCAAGATATCCCTGTGTTCACAAATGGAGAAGCCATTCAACCCACACAATTTGGCTGTAATATGCCATGCACCTTGAACACTCCCTTTGTTAGTTTCCTACATGTGTTAGTCCCTACAAATAATTGTACCTTTTATTGAATCTAAAAGTTTGACCAGGATTTGTTTTCTGTTAGTCTTTGATCCAAATAAACCAAAAACAAGATTACAGTCATTAGCACCTTTTTAGCATAACAATATATTATAATTCATTACTTACAAATAAGCAGGCTTTCCATTATCATAAGACCATCTTTAAAAAAAAAAAATAAAATTGCACCTCCCTTTCCCAAAGGAAGGAAAGCCCCCTAAAATATCATACTTCCTCCCAGAATAATTTTTTGGGAAGACTAGCAAAGTAAAAGCAAACCTTTAAAGTTGATGTACTGCTGCTACCTGTTCCTTGCCAATTTTCCTAACTTGTTTAGCTCTTTCATCTCTGTGTGCAATGGTTTACAATCTCTTCACTTCTTTAAAATCTTTGAGGTTTAAAGAGTATTTTCAAGGGACTCTGGCTAACACCTTTTTAAAAAATGGACTTTTGACACTAAGTACCAGAGCCTACTTCATCTTTTGTGATCCTATTTCACCCTGAAAATCCACTGACATATCTATTTTTTGTGACATGCTGCTATCTTAGTCTGAAAAGTAATTTGGAAAAGAGCAGCAAGGAGGAGGAACACCCAATCATCTTTTCTATTAACGGTCTTTCTGGGACTTGAGCAGGGTGGAATAGGATCACATTTTGGCACCTAAGTCTACAGAAGAACTTAAGAAGTAGAATAGGATCTTGCCTTAACCAACTTCTTTATTGTACAAACCTCCCCTCAAAAGCTGCAAAGTTTAAGACTGAACACTAAGGGTTCAGGCCATTCTTTTAGTTGCCACATTATTCTTCATTTGTCAGTTCTGGTCAGAATGTCCTAGCCTAGCTGGAGCAGCCCCAAGGATACCCAATTCACCTGCTCCTGCATGCAACTCTGAACCTAGAAATACTCTTGAGTCCATTCTAGTGATGCCACTATCAAACATACTGGGGTCAGGTCTGAAGAGCAACTGCAGAGGGGCATCCTGGCATGGGCTAAATAGTCTGTTTCTCAGTTTAGAGCATGCAAGCAAGAGTGGGTTGGTGGAAAATATTTGCAGACCTTTGGTGCAGACCAACTAGACCAGACATTTTATGCCACTGGGTCATTTTTAACTTGGTGCTGTTGGTTTCAGGAACGTTCTAACCTTAAAAGAAAAGAGAGAGGTTTGCAGAAGTGTTTATATACATTAGATAATTGTTCTACTTTGAACAATCGTATTCTCAAGAGAACTTAACACTTAAAAAAGTAAATATTTCTAATGAAAAAGCTTTGCTTGAAAGCAATTATCAGCTTACTAGGAATAAAATATATTTATTTACCATTTTAAATAATTCAGCAGCTCCAAATCAGTTTTCTCAAATTGAAATCTGCCAACATGTGACAAAAGCTGTCAAAATGTATGATCAACAACTGAGAAGTAAAACATTCATCATTTGTTACATATGTCGCAACAGTTAAATTATGTGGGTTTTTTTGCCATTATACAAATACATAAAAACATACATTTTCACTCTGTCTTGTTCCTTGTTACTGCATTGTAACTTAATTGCTAACCTTCTGGCCTCAAGTATTCAAAAACCATGAATTGCATCCTACAAAATCATATGGGTGGGTATGTTCACATTGCATGCTTCTCATGAGTAGGGTAAATTAAACTTCCTAGAATTCAGCTATCATGGCTAGACTGGTTTTTGGTACCCATTTGGAGCTAGGCCTTGTAATTCTACAATAACTATCAATATAATTAATTCGGGCCACCTAGCCCCTGTTTAGTTAATTGATCAGTAACCAAGTCATTCCAGTACCACCCAGTCTCTTTTCAATCTCCTTTTTGTTGATCTGATAGAGGCCCCTTGCTGAATCCACTGAGTCATCTATCTGTTCTAGCTTCTTATTTCTCTTCCTCTCTATGAAGCTGGCCAAGATGGAGCTGTTGTTTTACTGAAAACTGGAAGGGAAAGGAGAAAAAAAAGGAATAGAGTGGTTTGCCACACCTTTTTTTGTCACAATATTTGTTTTGGTTATTTTTTTTTTTTAACAGTTTCTAGATTTACTGTTTATAGAGGAATGTGAGCCATGAAGGTTCAAAACCAGAAGGGAAATAAAAAGCACTTCAAGGTAATTACTCAAAAAAAATGTGGAGGGGACTGCCTTGTGACTTTTAGACACAATTATAGTTCCTAACTGCTTCACCATGGGGTTACTGATCCCAAAAGCTCAGACCCTGTATCATCTCCTACTCCTTGTTGGAGCCAAAATGGTTCGGAGTCCATGGTGTTACCACCTAGCCTGTATATGGCCTCATACACATGTGTATCTTAAGTTGGTCAGACGATGAACCTTCTCTGACCTCCAGACTAAGAGCATGTGCAGTAGTATTTGGAAGTCGCTGAAAAATGGTACCCAGTACAAACCTCAGGGCTGTGTGCGATCTCTGGCATGCTGTGTGCACCACCCTTTTAAGGGTTTTGTTTTTTTTTTGGGGGGGGGGGGGGTTGCTGACAGACGGGGTCTGTGTCTGTCTGGGTGTGTGGCGAGTGTGGGAATGTCTGCGTAAGCTGTGGTGGTGTGTTAGGAGTGCATAGGAGAGAGATGAATAGTGGTTGCTTGAGGACAGAAGAGAAGGAAAAGGTGTGGAGTTTGTGCATGGAAGTGGCGGAAGTGATTCTGTGGACAACTGGTGTGGTGGTGTGCCTTGTGAACATCAGGTGTTGTTGCTTGGCCTACAGTGTGTTCTGCAGGACCTGACCAGCGACAGAGAGCACCTCAGTGGAAACTGTCAAACTGGACAATCTAAAGGAGGTCAACACAAATATTTAACTCCAGTATAACTTCATCTTCTACTTCTGGTGATCTGCAGCTGACGGTGGTTCGAGTCGGCTCCCCAGACTCCTTTCCCTGGGTGTGGTTTGCACAGAAGTAGCAGCTCACAACATTCCTGTGTAAGTATTACCCCTTTTCTCAGGATGTGCAGGGATAGGGAACCAGGTCCCTTTGGTGCCAAGTGAAATTCATCTAGGGCACTCCTCCCACACATACATTTGTGCGTTCATTAGGATTGTTAAAGTTGCTACAGTATAACTTCATAAATCCAGCATGCTTGGGACCTAGCACCTGCTGGAAATTTGAAAAGTCCAGATTTTTGAATGAGTGAGGCTTGGGCTAGGGAAAAGGTGGGAGGAGGGGTGCAGCACAGACCAGTGTCTGCAGGCAGGTGGCATCGGTAGCTCCTGGGGCTGCAGCAGGGAGTGAAGAGGAGGGAACTGTAAGTGGGTGCGGGGCAGGAGGACACAGCTCTTGCTGCTACGCTGAACCCGGGAGGGCTCTGGGATGCAGGGCTGCGCTGGGCTCTTCCTGGGGGGCACATTCCCCTGGATTTGCATGCTGGATGATAGCAGGCTACTGCTGTGGACTGGGGCCAGCGGTGGCACCGGGCTCTTCCCAGCGCTCGGGGCGGGTGCCAGCCTCCTTTTGTCCAGCATGGAGATCCAGGGGCATGCATCTCCCAGGAAGACCCTGGTGCAGCCCCATAGCCCTCCCAGGGTGCATTTGGCAGCAAGAGCCATGCCCCCACACCCTGGGACCACTTACAGTTCCCGCTGCTTTGCTTCCTGTTGCAGCCAGCAGAGCGGCTGACACCACCTGCCTGCAGGGCCGGCTTTTTGAGAATTCCAGAATTGTGAGTGCTGGATTTATGAGGTTATTAGGAATTTCGTTGTTGTTAGGAAGTACATAAGGATGTTAGGATTCAGTAGGTTAAGATCTGGTTGCTTGTGTTACCTTTCTTCTCCCCTGTCATTGGTGTTGAAACTTACCTGTGTTTTAAAAAAAAATGTTTATTCATTTCAGTTCAGTTTCCCTTGTTTGTAAGTTTTATTAATTAGCCATAGTATAGGCCAAGTCACCAGGTTACTAATGTGGTGATAGAGTGTTTTGAAGTCTCTTTCTTTGTACTGGTAGGTGATTTCTGCTCCTTCCATGGCTTTCTGGGAGGCCATACAAGAACATGGTACAGCAAAACTGGAAGGCTAAGGAGAGACAGGGCAGAATTTACTGATGATGACCTTTTAAATACTATAAACTAATTTAAAAAGGGTGTGCTGGTCTTTAAAGGGCATGACTAGGTCTAGCCAGGTTCATTGCAATTTCAGCCTCAGAACAGTAAGGTCTTCCAGGACTTTTAGATTAGTGACAGACATTACACACAAACTGGTTTAAGTGATCAGAAACTGGTTTAAATCTGTAACAGAACAGACGTTCAGTACACATAAACCAGTTTGAGAATGGCTGAAACTGGTTTGAGATAAACCTGGTTTAATGTCGTATCAGACTTAGCAGATTTGGGTCAAACCAGTTTATGCAATGTCTGTCCCAAACCCCTTCCTGGTTTAACTTAAACAAGAGTCCCTCAGCATCCCAGATGCTTTGCAGCCCTGAGCAGGGTTCTGCTTTCTGCTCCAGAGAACAGGCTGGCCCCTTCTATCTGCTTCCTAGCTGGCATCCAGCAGAGACTACAGGCACAATAGAGTCTGCCTGGCTTCCCCTTGCTCCACCTCCCCCTCACCACTCCCTGCTCAAGCAGGGATTCCCTCCCTTCCCTCTCCCACAGCATGGACCGTAGCCAGAATGTGGTATGCTAGCTAATGCTGAGAGGTTTCTGTGTAAGGCAGATAGGATTGTGTCCACTCAGGGCTTTTTGGACCTAATCAACAGGTCAGCTGGTCCCTCCATTCCTCCATTTCTTTCTTGGAAAAAGTTGTTTAAGAAGAGCTTGAACTAATGGGAGGCTTTTGTTTTATTTTAATGGGGTGCTAAATGCTATCAACTTTGCAACTCCCTGCTGTGTAACTAAATGTTGTTTACCTCTGTCCTGGCTCCCTTGCTAGTCAGGAGCGGGGGGGCAGTGTGGAAGGGCCCCCTAATCAGAGTGTCCTACCAGGGCCTGGCCATGCCCCCCTCAGATCAGCACTGAGGAAGGGAAGGGGAGGGAGGGCTGCTCTAGTGCCCCCTGGCTTCTAGCTGGAGCCACTGCAAACATGAGTTGGCATTTCTTTGGTCTGGAGGGTATGTCTGTGCAGTTACAAACCAGTTCAGCCTAGCTAAGTTAAATTAACCTGCAAAGATTGAATGAATTCAGGTTCAGGCTTTTTGCAAGTCTGTCCCTAGCCTTAGTCTCAGGTCCCTGGAGAATGCTAGGCTTTGAGATAAAAGTGCTGAGAAAAGAGGAGTGCACATCAGAAACAGTCTCTTCTATGGTAGTGGAGATTCAGCAAGCATGGAAGGGGTTAAGATCTGTTTGTTCTGGAATGAAGATGAATATAGGGAATAGCAATGGCTGTTGCATTGTCCTGCCAAGAGTGTAGGAAGTGGCTAAGAAGTTAGGCTGGAGAAGAGACTTGGTGACTTGCTGCGGGAAGTATCCTAGGAGGACTGCTTAGCATTCTAACTTTGGCAATCATGAATGAAGGTTTCTGCACTCTATTTTGGTGGTACTTTTGCTTATCTTCTAATAGAAAGATTGCTGGTTTGGCCAATCTGGTTGGTTTGCTTGTTTGTTTTTTTTAAACTCTTCAAACGCTGTGTAGAAAATGCAGCTGTGGATGACCTGATGTCAGGCAACCTAGTGTTGTACCGTGATTTCCAATTGCATTCTGAACTTAGTAAAATTTGTTCTCCTTTGCTTACACATTTAATCGTCACCAAGCTTGTCTTTACATATTAGTTTTCAGTCTCTTTACTAGTAATTTAATAGTTGTCACCTACTTTTATAGCCTTTAAGAACTGTCCAGCATTCATAGGCCTAGCTGATTGTCAACATGACAAACTTAAATTAATGATCTAATTGTAAGGATTTTGAAGAATGACTCGTGACATTTTCTTAACATTTTGAGATGTACAGCAAGGCATGGGGAACATTTAATCTGGGTCACTTTACTGCAAACATAATTTATTCTTTGACCTTTTCCTCTAGTTTCCACTTTGAAGAGTTAATAAAATATTGTGCTTTCAGGAAAAGATCAGAAACTACAGTCAGTTGGCATGAGTGAAAATTTCTCCCTCCCCCCCATTTCCAAACAAATTAAAATCCTGTAATTTTTATTGAGGCATTAATGGATCTTGTACGTACTGCAAGTGTAACAACGTCAATATAAAAAGGTGTCTAGGGGACTTCTGGTGAGCATTAACACGTATTTGAAATTCCAAAAGGTTCTGATAAATACATAATTTTCTGTGGTTGTGAAAGATGCTGTTTGGTAAGGAAAGAACATAACTAAAATTGGTTGAAAAAATGTGGAAGTAGCAAAGGAACTTTGTTTTACTGTCCCCTACAATCTTCATCCTTTCCTGACTTTCCCATAGCCTAGCACTTCAACAAGAACAATCTTTACCAGCACTAATTGTGAATCTTCAATGGTAAATTAATTGCTTTTTGGTTGGGATCCAACAAAGTTCATATAGGGAAGACTAAATACTCTCCAACAAAAACCAGATAAATTATTATGGGCTCAACCACTTTCTTTCTAGGTTGTTTATGAAAGGGGGTTCTCTACATATAGTGTTATCAGAACAAAAGCGGGGGTTCCACATATTAGCTTCCCCCTGACCACTTCTGGTGAGAAAACAGGAGTGAGGTACTTTACAGCAGATGGTCTGTCAGTTCTTCCTGCTGTTTCCCACCATCTAGTGTGGAACAGACCCTTTTAATGAGGACAATGGGTTTATCCTTGCTTGCTCTCTCTTCTTACCAGACATTTTAGCTTATTCTGTTTCCCTGTTCTAAGCTATAAAGTGTTAGTATCAAGTTTTAATGTGTCACCTTTTTTTCTTGTATGACATGAGGCAGAGCTGTGCAGAAATACTTTAGCTAATTCTGCACATGCTAACTTATGTGCCAAAAGCAGTGTAATCATACGTGCACTATAGAATATGGTAGCCTGAATGCAAAGCCATGTTGATGGGGCTGTAAATAGCTAGTGCATGTGTGCACAGCATTGGCTTTTGCTTTGTAGCAAAGGTGTAACTGGCCAATACTGTGTTCTGGGCAGTGGTGGTGCATAGTGTAGGGGCAGGTTTGCTGCTGCTGGGACAGATGTCACCTTCTTTTTTTGCAGCTGATGTGTTGAGCATCCATTTCAACACCAGTTTTCAGCGGCAAAAAACCCAAAGATATTTGTCGTCCACAGCAGCCATCCCACTGTCAACACTGTTCTGCCCCCCACGGTGCTGGAGCTAGAGCCACTGCTGGGAAAATGCAAGGGGAGGAGAAGGAGATGGAACAGGAGGATGACACACTCCCGCTCCAGCTCCATTCCTGTGCCCCAGCACCTAGGCAGCCCCATTCACTCCTCCATCATTATGCTACTGCTGTGTACTCTCCAGTGTGAGCTAGCATATTCAAACCTGGTTTGGGGTATCTGTACAGGGTAGTGCACTGCTTTGTCTAGACATCTTCTGTGTGACAGCCTTAGAGCTGATTGAAAAAATTCTTTCAACTCTTCCACTAGTATTCTATTTGGGAAAAAGAAATAAGTCTGAAACATATTTTTTCCACACAGAATGTACTGTTTTATTTATAAAATAAAACCATAGACAAAAGCTGAAACATTTTTAGTTGCCAAAATGTGAATGCTTTTTGGGTTTTTGTTTTTTGACAAAAGTCAACGCTCCGCAGGGGTGGGAAAATTCCACCCAGCTGTAATCAATTGCCTGTTTAAAAAAAAAAAAAAAAGAGAGCGAGAATTGAGTAAATACTGCAGGCCCATGATATATTGTGACAGAAAGGTACTAAAAAGATAGCAGTTACAGTGTTGTGATGTAAAGCTGACAACTGGGTTTTATTGAAGGAAAAAAAAAATTAAAAAAAAAATCTCCTTTTCATAAGGAGTGCTGGTTCTTATTTTTCTGTTACCAATGATATCAAAGAGGAAATCTTCCCACAGCTTTTTGTCCCCGCAGTCTCTTTCTTTGACATGACTTTGCTCCTCAGAGATGTTAGATGATGAAAGATAAAATTCTCTTTTCTGCAGCTCTTATAACCTCTGTCATCATGTCATCTCTTTATTGATAATAAGTAAATTGTAACCATGAACTTAGAGAAACATTGTTTAATCACAGAAAGCTATGTTTAACATTAAAAAAGCATCTTAGAGTGATTGAGTCACAACATTTCATGGTGCAAGGTGACTGATGTAGCTTTACTATCTTTCTTCCATCAAATAACTTTAAGAAAAATAAAAAAGGATATTCTTGAAAGATTGGTAGTACGCCCCCACAGTGTGTCCAACACTTCTTAAAGCCTACTGGCTGAACCAGAGAAATACATTGTGTGCTACCTCGATCCATAACTGCTCAAAGTGCTGGCTGCAGTGGTGGTCATTGAAAGAAAAAAAAAAGAGAGAGAGAGAACCTACTGAGACAAATTTCTGCCACTTTAAAATAAGTCTACAGATTGACCAATACCTGTGTAATCCCCCTCCCCCCCCCTCCCCCAACGCACTGAGTTGTATATTGTGTTTTTTGTTTGGTTTTTGATATGAGCAAGATGGCCCTGTTGTTCTGGCAATGTGCTCAGCACATGGCAAGCTGGGACCTGTAGCTGGGGAAAATATGTAAAACCCTCTGGTTTCATTGGCTAGAGGATGCTTCTGGCAGAAAGACTGAAAATGTGTCCCTCCTGAATTGGATATGGCTTCAGTGATATCACACCAGGTATATGAGAACAATTCACTAAGGTTCTGGACTTTTATTCATCTGTCTGCTGAGAGCTGCACAGCTACATTGGGAGCCAAAAAACCTGTTCCCCATGGTGGGGGGGAGGGGGGGGGTGTCTCCTGCTTACCCCTCCACCTTTCCTAGAGAGGCAAGCAAACACTACAGGAAGGGAAAGCCTCAGGTAGAAGGAGAGAGACTCCTGTTTCCCCTTTTTTTTTTTTCTTCATTCTTTCTCTTTTTCTTTTCAAATGGATTAATGTAATGCCATAGGAGTATTAATTCCTGAAGCAAATTGCCCAGGAATGGGTACTGACAGTTACTGGCTACAGGAGTCTGGCTCCCTTTGATTTGTAATTGTATCGTCTCAGCGTGAGGTATAGCTGAGACCCAGATGCTATAGGCCTGGGCCCTCCCCACCAACCACTTGCTGTTTCTACAGCTATAGCGAACCCCAGCTATATGTTCAGGCTTCAGTGAAGTATAGGCCTGGCCACTAGGGCTGTGTAAAGCTTTGATCCCTGATTTGATTCAGCAGAGGTTTGCCCCAATTTCGGTCACTGAATCTCTGAATCTGAACCGAATCAGAAGACCCTTCAATCTCTGAATTGAAGCGCAACCCTCCAAATCGATTCAGAAAGATTCAGAGATTCAGACGTAGACACAGCTTTTAAATGTTTTTTCTATATACCTCTAGGTCGCAGGGGCTCATGAGTGCTGTGATGCTGGAGCCCATGGAACATCCCACAGAAGCACACCGGACTCCCCAGTGTGTTCAGCAGCAGACCCAGAAGTGGACCAGAAGCACTTCAGTCCATTTCTGGGTCCACTGGGGAGAGCACCAGGGCCCCCCCAGGCTCCCTTCCAGCTCATTGACTGGTGCCTCCTGGGTCTGGGGGGGGAGGGGGCACCCAGGCAGACTCAGAAGTGGACCAGAAGTACTTTTGGTCCAGTTCTGGGTTCACCACTGAGCAAATGAAGGTTTCCCCCACACTTCTGTGGGATGCTCCATTTGCCCCAGCATTGTTGCATTCACAAGCTGCACCTGCTACTTCAGGGTATGTAGAAAAAACTTTTAAAGCTGCGTCTATGTCCAAATCACTAATTGTCCAAATCAGCATCAAATCTTCAGATTTGGATTTGGCTGAATTGAATCGGGGACAGTGATCCGAATTGATGGATCCAAATCACTGTCCCTAATTTGAGCTCAATCCAAATCGAATAGGGCCTGATTTGCACTCCCCTACTGCCCAGTTCAGGTCCAGTGAGATAAGTCTGGCTTCTCCTTCAAAGTTTCTTTTTGCAGTTCCTGCCCAGCAGAGCTGGGATTGAGATCAGGAATGTAGGGGTGTGGCATGCTGTCTGGAACCACAGTTAACTCCTTAAAGTCACCACATGGGAGCGGGGATCACCCTACAGCATCGCAGGGAACAATGAGAGACCCCTCACATAGAAGGACCCATATTCTCTAGCATCTTCCTGTGGACCCGCAAGCCCAAGGAGCAGATCAAAAGACTCTCCAGTGAAGCCCCCCTTTCCAGCCCATTGCTGAAGGGCAGGTATAAGGGTGAAAACCCTGAGAGCTGCCTTTTGGGTCCCAGGTGGCCTGGGCATGGGTGAAGCCACCTCAAGAGGATGTAATCTATGAATTATGCTTAGTTGATAGTGTTTTAAATTGTATTTAGTGTTTTTATTTATTTTCTGCATTTGCTTTCTGTTCATGCTGCTTGCAAGGAGGAAGTTTTGTTTATGCAGGATGCCCAAGTAATGTATTTAGTGTTTACCATTCAGTCTGTGTGGGGGCTTGAACTAATAGTATATTTAGACCCCAAAATTGAGCCTGGCCCTTGTTGCTGCCGACCAGTGCCTGGCAGAAGGGTTACACCTGTAAACAAATAGGTAGCTATTTTTTTGTCATCCTTATTTCTTGAAACATTCCTGGACAAATGATTTCTAATCCTTCATACCTTACTTTTCTATATACCAATATCCATGATGTCTAAATAAAGCTTTGATGCAGTGTGACCACTGAGTGAACTAAGAGACTGATCATTAGGAGCAGCATATATTGCAGGTAGGTCCTAAGGGATGGGCTAATTTTGAGTTTATGTAAGCTTACATCAGATATGGCACTTGACCCTACAGTGAGGCACCAACATTTTTGTATTCTGTCATATTTTAGGTCGCAGATCAACAAAAGTGCACATGTACATCTGAAGAACAGCCCAGAGTAGGAAAGGAGACTGTCTATGTCTGATTGGTTGTACTGGTGTTCTTATATATTTCATACATGGCAAACAAGGCCTCTTTGTTGGGGAGGACATGTTGGCTCTGTTCCTGTTCCACAGTCCAGACCTTTATATAAGGTTTTTGAGTGAAGCTCTATGGATAGACTTCACCCTATACCCAGCAGAAGCTACAAGAGAAGTTTTGAATGCCTCAGGAAAAAGGAACACCCTGTGAAATACCTGCAGCATGAGAACACAGGGAGAAGAATGAATCCCTTGTAAAGACATGACAGAAACGCACCATTTAGCAGGAGTAAATTTGCTAAATCCTTTGCCCATATACCACTTTCATTTCCTGATGGTGGTAGAGTGGTGTTTTATGGGTTTGTTTCTTGACTCTTCTCCTGAATGACAGATACCTTGGACAGTGAAGTAAATCTTGCTGCTTTTGAAGACTGCATGGAGGCTCTTTGCTACTCTGTTGTCATTTTCTGTGTTGCTGCCCAAGAAGAAAGATCACCTATGAAGTAGGGCTGAATGAAAACTGGGATACCTCTCCTATGAATAGTCATTGTGAACATCTGGCTGATATACATTCAGATTTTTCTGAGTGTGTGTGCTTGAGCTGGTATTGTTTAATGGAAGAGGTAGAAGCTCAGATGGACCCCGTAAGTAACCAAACCCATCTCAATTTACTGCAAACAATACCCAGGAGTAGGATTAAATGATTTCTCATTCAAATCTAAACCTGACTTGGAAGTTGCTTTTAGTTCAGCTCCACAAATAACCACATTGGAACATTTGGCTAGTATAAGCACACAAAGTAGAATGTCCTTTTATTTTAAACATTAAAAAATCTCTTTTATAAGTTTCAAAATGTGTCACATTTTCCTAATGCTTAAAAATTAAAGCTCTCAGCTAGCAGTATTAATTTAAAGTATGGAACAGCCATCAAAATATTTGTTAAGATTAAATGAAAATATTTAAAGTAGAATGATGGAAGTGAAACAGAGTAATGTAAATAGGTATAACTCAATTCATTTCAAGTGATCAGTGCTCACTTACACTAGGTAAAATTCCGCCAAATGTTACAAGAGTTGGATGTAGGAAAAATATATAACCCCCCCACCCCAAGAAGTTATTTCCCTTAGCAATACTGCTCTGTGTAAACATGCCATAGCTGTCCCTAAAAACACTGAGGCAATAAAAAAAAAAGTATACATGCTTTTATATCTTCCTTTTTCATGTCCATCTGGTATTTTCCTTCCAACTCAATGCCTATTTACAAATGGCATAAAATGAAGAGAAACCTGAAAGGAGAGTTGCGTTAGATAGTAATTATTTCAGTGACGGTATATTCAGTTTACTCTACTACTTAACTTCTATGTTGCACTAGTGGTGTTAAAACTTTTATTTAAATTATCAGTGGAGATAGAGATGACAGATGGTGTTCCCACCTGTTCCCTGTTCCCTTAGTAATGTTAATGATATTACAGGACTCTGTAAAACAGTTTATAGGAAAGAATCATTGTGATTGGCAATCCAACACGCACAGGGCAAGAATAATTAGAAAGACCTACAGTACAGGCATTCCAACAACAATTCCAAGAGCAATAGATTCGTCCTCTCTAAAAATAGAATAGAATAATTTAAGATAATAGCGAAATATAATCACTCCTCTTTTCCAGTATCCCATGAGCAAAACTGGAGCATGTAATGCATTTTGTAAAAACAACTCAATAGTTTGCAAAACAGATCTAGGCAAAAATGTACCTTCCTTTTGTTTGTTTGTTTGTTTGTTTGTTTGTCTGTAATCCAGATTTTCTGCTTAAATGCATTTTACAATCTTCTGATTTCCAGTGTGGGCTAAAGAGCATTAATATTTTTTTAAGAGTACAGAGATGGTTAGCTGTGTTAATCTGAAGCCAGGCAAAAGGTATGTCAGGGTAGCACCTGAAGAGACTAACTGGTTTAGAGAGGCAAGAGCTCTCATAGGTGACAACATACTTCATACTAACATCTGGAGTAGGCTGTGCCTAGAAGAGCTTATCCATCTCTGAACCAGTTAGTCTTAAAGTTCCCTGTCCTATCTTCTGGCATTTTAAGAAGCAAAATCACCTTGCAAAGTGTTTTTTGTCCATGCTTTAACTTAAGCAAGATGCTGGCAGGGCAAGAAAGGCATGAACTTTTTTATGAGACAGATTTCTCAGAGGCTATACATTTCATAGCTGTCTCCTACGAAAGCTTATGCTTCTCTGAACTAGTTGGGTTCTCAGATCCCTGCTTTGCATTCTGCCTGAGTTCAGACTAACACAGCTAACTACCTCTTTTTAAGCATGATGGAAAAATCATATCACTTGAAAAGATAAGTAGATGGGCTTAACTACAGTATACCTCAGTCTGGTATAACTTTTTGTCTGTCCACACATACTTGACAATAAGTGAAGTTTCATCCCTGCTTTTTTATTTTGGGTAAGTTTTATTGAGATTTAGCTTTACTTTTTGTGAATAGGAATAGAGAGACAAAACAGTTGCATCAAAATAGATGATCTATGTTCCCCAGCACTGTCCTCTCCCCCAACGCACTCTTGTAGGTACGCGTTTGTCCATGCCCCTGTTATAAATTGTTTCTGAAATTCTAAGAATCGGGTATAAGCCAATATACATTTTCTTCATCTTCTGCTTATAGACTTCCATTCCAAGAATAACAGAAATGTAAACTTGATAAAACAGTATACCAGTTCTTCCTCTGAGGAGACTGAGGTAAATCAAATCACTCAAGGGGTAGTGATATAGTTGATATACGAAATTGCAGTGTATATGGAATAAAATACCCATCCCCCCCAAAAAGTGACATTTTATCTTTCAAAATCTTTAACTGGGTGCTCTATAAGTAGGAGCACCAAGGAAGGAGCCCCCCAGGGGGCACTTGCTTGCCTGTACACAAATGCCAGGAGCTTGGGTAATAAGCAGGAGGAACTCATCCTCCTGCTCAGTGCAAATAATTATGATGTCATAGAGATAATGGAGACCTGGTGGGACTCCACCCATGACTGGACCACGGGTATAGATGGCTATACCCTGTACAGGAGGGATCGTGTAGAGAAAAGGGGCGGGAGTGTAGCTCTCTATGTTAAGGAAAGCTACACGTCCCTCAAAGCCGATATTGGCGACCAGGGTGGATGGCTGGAGACCCTCTGGGTTA